AGAAAAACAATGCATTGTGTAGCAAATAAAAAGGTCAACCAGTCATCCTTTCTTTTAGAGTTACTGAAAGAATACAGTAGAAGTCATCTCAGAGGACTTAAAACAACATTGAAGTCACCAACACAGATCAGAGAATCAATCAACAGTTAAACACATTAAGGATATTGAACACATGTTGAAAAATATCCATATACATGACAGTGAATAATACATGTAGGGGCTATTACGGGCGCCAATATTCCGTTTGATACAAAGAAAGACAAACCAGTTGCAAGCTGTAGAGTGGCCACAGGACGCGTCATCAGCCTACGTCAGCAGCCGCGGACTGCTATGAAAACATTAGCTTTGTGGTTTCACAGGCGCAGTTGACTGCTTAAACTAAACTTTGCACGAAACTTTGACTCTTAAAACCCACATGTGACAAAACGGAACCATCAACATCTCGCCTCAAATTGCATTAAAAGTGACATTCGTGTCTGAATTCGTTCGTATTTTAACTTTTAAAGAAATTCACGGTCCGCCATCTTGGTTTGCTTCGGCTGCCGTGAGACGCGCATGCGCAAGTTTGCATTACATGATAAACAGCTGAGGCTGTGCATCTCTTCAAGGCAGTGTATCTCAGCGTTACCGGCTTGCACTTCTCTAACACGGCACTCACATTGCTACCGCTCGCCGCCATCTTTGTTTTGTGTGTGACGCACCAACGCGCATATTATACGTCGGTGTATTTTTTGCGTCGACGTCATCGATTACGTCGACGCGTTGTCCCAGCCCTAGTCGAGAGTCATCAGGATTAGGGCTTTCTATCCGCCACCGCATGCCTCCCCCGAGGAGGAGCGGCGGCACCTTCTGTGTCCTGTCAGAATGCTGAGGCATTACCTGGCCATGACGTCGTCATTCAGGTTGGGTGGTCAGCTGTTTGTGTGTCTGGGCCCCAAGAACAGGGGCGCCCCGCTGTCGGCTCAGCGGCTGGCGCACTGGGTCGCCACGGCTGTGCGGCGGGCGTATCAGACGCAGGGTCTGGCCCTCCCGGTGGGCTTCAGGTCGCATTCCACGCGTGGGATGGCGGCCTCTACGGCCCTTCTCAGGGGGGCGTCGGTCGAGGACGTCTGCCGTGCGGCTTCTTGGGCGTCGTCCTCCTCTTTCGTCCGGTCTTATCTTTTGGATGTGTCGGACCGGTCGGTGGCCCATTCCGTGCTGAGTGCAGCGGACTGAGTTAGACCGGTAGGTCCCTCCTCTGAGGGGGCCTTCGGTTTACTTTCCGCCCTGGTTCAGGAGCTCTTGGGAGAGGCATCCTACAGGTGCGGTACTTATATGTGTGTTTGGTCGGTCAGGTAGTCCACGTCAGGAGCCCTTGGGAGAGGCGTCCTGTGACTACGGATGACCTACATCTGTGTTACGTGGGGGTATCCTTGGTAGGAGTGGCCCTGTAACACGCATTGTTTCTTCTGCCCTGAGTCCTCTCACTGTGTGAGGGTCTTGCTCGGGCGGAGCTCCAATCACCCTTCGCTGGCCTGCTGGGAGTACATGTTCCTACGGCCTCCGCCGTTGTGTCCCACTAGCGAAGTCCTAAGGGACGTAGCACCATGACGTAGAATTAATAGTTACCTAATGTAACTTACGTTCTACGAATAGGTGCGTAGTCCCTTAGCTACGAGCTCATCAGGCCAGCCCGGCTTGGCAGAGTTCAAGAGGGGGTGCGGCCTTGTGCAGGGGCCTTTATAGAGGAGGGTGGCTGGTGATTGGATAGGGAAGTCCGGGCGTCTCTGCTTAGACTGCGCCCCCCCCCGACTCGGCAATACGGATAAAGCGAAGAAAATGGATGATGGAGGGATGGAAAACCAGAAAAAAACTGACAAGGAAAGTGCCAGAACAGATGCCACAGAGCAGCTGTGAGACCGACGAAGTGACCAAGAGCCATGCAATGACAGGAGAGGACGGAGTGGACGGCGGAGGTTCAGTCCCCTTTGTTTCTTATCAAAAACTGGTAAATCATACTCCTGTGCAGGTGTGTGTGTCCCTCCTCTTCATTGTGCGTTTAGTACGGCCATTTGGACACATAGCCGGGAAAAGCACAACGACGTCATGCCACCAAGGGTCCCAGAAAAATGCCAGATGCGGCCAGATTGTTGGAAAAAAAGGTGTGAAAGACCCCGACCAGAATCAAAACACAGTGCATTTCAGATGCACAAATCTGACAGATGCCAGAAAACTCTACATAGTGACAACTGCCAAAACAGATTCCAGTTTGGACATCACAAAACAAACACCAACAGAATCGCTATAAAAGGCCAGATGGTAAAAACCAATGTCAAAAAGACCATTAGGCAAGAACTGGTGTGGACAGATCCAGAAATAAAGTCAAAATCAATGCAGCAAAGGCCAGAAGGTAGAGCTGATGTTACTTCAATATTTGTCCCATCAGAGGTAAATACTTACTAGAACTAGATAGTTCCAAGTAATGACAAATGCTGGACCAACGTCACAAACTAGGTTGAGACAGATGGAAGTGACCAGAGCATTGTGAGACAGATGGAAGGACCAAGCAGTGTGAGAGACAGAGTGGAGGAGGAGGGGTGTATCCATGTGTTGCAATCAAATTTGCCAAGTTTTTCAGTTTTTTGTGTCCCTCATCCGCTTCATTGCCGTTGGGTCTAATTCATAGGACACAGCAGAGACCCAAAATGCCTGACGGATGGGCAAAACTTTCAGTAATCTGACAAGTCACAAAAAATGAAAACCAGATACCAGAAATGGATGCAAGACCTAATGCCATAAAATGGTCTGAATACCAAGAAGTTCTCCCAAATACCAGAAGAAGAACAACATACTTAACACAGTTATGCCCGACCAGAGCCACAAATAGAGAAGAGCCGACCCAATCCAACAAAGACCAGCTGAAAGACCAGATGTTTAACACAGAAAGAAAAATGCTGACCAGAACGCACAAACCAGGTGTGGGACAGTGAGCCCACAGTGTTCTCATCAAATACAGGTAAATCCTCATATGGACTTATTCATTTTTTGTTCCTCCCTCATCATTACCTTATGTCTTAATCATTAACACATAAGATAAAATAACAATCCCAAAAAAGTGGACCAAGTGCTGCAAAACTTGAAAAGATGCCAGGCCAATTCACAAGAGATCCAGAGGGCTGCGTGGGTGGCTGAGAGGATAGCAAAAAGGTCCTGGTTCAAACCTGCTCGGCCTTTCTGAATGGAGTCTGCCATAATTATACCTCAACGAGTGCTGTCCCGATAGCCCTGCCCACTAGAAACATTCGTAACCAAGTCGAGCATCACCATCTGAGCCAGTTTCAACAACTTTGACCTTTATCTTATTAAATAACTTAGATAAAGGTCAAAGTTTAGTTGAAAACTGGCTCAATGGTGATGCTCGACTTGGTTACTGACATGTTTTCTAGTCAGGCCAAACTGGAGCACACCGGAGGTAATCTATAGCAGACTCCATTCAGAAAGGCCAGCAGGGTTTGAACCCAGGACCTTCTTGCTATCCTCTCAGCCACCACGCAGCCCTCTGAATCTCTAGTGACTCTGGCCTGGCAACTGTTCAAGTTTTGCAGCAACTGGTCGCAGCATTTTTCTGGGAGCCTTGTATTTTAACTTTGTGTCCTAATGATTAAGACCAAAATGTAATAAGAGGGAGGAACAAAACATGGAATATTAGTCCATATGAGGATTTACCTGTAATTTGATGAGAACACGTGGCTCCACAGTCCCACACCTGGTTTGGTGACGTCTGGTCCACATTTTTCAATTCTGTAACATCTGGTCTTTTCAGCGGTCTTTGGTGGCATCTGGTCAGCATCTTCTCTATTTGTGGCCTCTGGTCGGGCAAACTTGTAAGTATGTGTTCTTCCTTCTGGTATTTGGGAGAACTTCTCTGGTATCAGACATTTTACTGGCATCTAGGTCTTGCATCCATTTGCCTGGAATCTGGTTTCCATTTTTGTGACATCTTCAGATTACTGAACAGTTTTTGCACCATCCCGTCAGGCATTTTTCTGTATCGGCTGTGTCCTATGAATTAGACAAACGGCAAAGGGGGGGGGGGGGGGGGGGGGGGGGGGGGGGGGAGGGGGGGGGGGGGGGGGGGGGGGAAAAAGTGGGGGGGTGGGAGGGGGGGGAAAAAAAAAAGGGGGGGGGGGGTGGGGGGGGGCAAAAAAAGAGGATAGGGACACAAAAAACGTGAAAAACTTGGAATTTGATATGACACATGGATACAACCCTCCTCCTCACTCTGTCTCACACTGCTCTGGTCACTTCCATCTGTCTCACACTGCTCGGTCACTTCCTCTGTCCCACCTATTTGTGAACGTCTGGTCCAGCATTGGTCATTACTTGAAATATCTATTCTAGTAAGTATTTACCTCTGATGGGACAAATATTTGAAGTTACATCGCTCTCTACCTTCTGGACTGTGCTGCTCTCTGATTTCTGACTTTATTTCTGCATCCTGTCCAACCACCAGTTTCTTGCATAATGTCTTTTTTGACATCTGTTTTTCCATCTGGCCTTTTAGAGCTTCTACTCTGTCGTATGTTTTTGTGATGTCCAAACTGAATCTGTATTGGCATTTGGCACCTATGTAGTGTCTTTCTGCATCTGTCAGAATTTGTAGCATCTGAAATGAAATGTGTTTTGATTCTGGTCAGGGGTCTGTTCATTTTATCCAACATCTGGCCCCGCCTCTGGCATTTTTCTGGACCGTGCTGGCATGAAGTGTCCAAATGAGCATACAAACGCACAATAAAAGAGGAGGGACACACACACGCACAGAGTATGATTTACCCTGTAATTTGATAGAAACAAACGGGCTGACACCCCTCCTCCGCCACTCCGTCTTCTCCACTGTCTTCATGGCTCTGTCACTTCTGTCGGTCTCACAGCTGCCTGTGGCATCTGTTCTGCTCTTCCCATGTCAGTTTTTCTTCTGGTTTTCCATCCATCCATCCCTCCATTTTCTTCCACCCCCACGCTTATCCGTTGCCGAGTCGCGGGGGAGGCAGTCCTAAGCAGAGACGCCCCAACATCCCATCCACACACACTTCCTCCAGCTCGTCCGGGGGACCCCAAGGCGTTCCCAGGCCAGCCGAGAGACATAGTCCCTTCCAGCGTGTCCTAGGTCTTCCGCGGGGCCTCCTCCCGTTGGGACTGCCCCGGAACACCTCCCATGGAGGCTTCCAGAGGCACCGGAACAGATGCCCGAGCCACCTCAACTGGTTCCTCTCGACGTGGAGAAAGCAGCGGCTCTACTCCGAGCTCCTCCGTGTGACTGAGCTCCTCACCCTATCTCTAAAGGGAGCGCCCAGCCCACTCTGCGGAGGAAGCTCATTTCCGACCGTGGGTATCCGCGATCTCGATCTTTTCGGTCATCTACCCAAAGCTCATGACCATAGGTGAGGGAGGGACGAAGATTGACGGTAAAATCGAGAGCCTTTGCCTTTCGTCTCAAGCTCCCTCATTACCACAACGGTCCGATACAGCGACCGCATCCCACTGCGCACGCTGACACCGGATCCCGCCTGTCAATCTCACGCTCCATCCTTCCCTCACTCGTGAACAAGACCCAGAGATAACTTGAACTCCGCCACTTGAGGGAAGACTCTCCACCACCTGCAATAGCGGCAAGGCACCTTTTTCCGGTCGGCACCATGGCCTCGATTTGAGTGCTGATTCTCATCCCAGCAGCTTCACACACTCGGTGCCAACCGCCCCAGTGCAGCTGCAGGTCCTGGTTCGTTGGAGCCAACAGGACAACATTGTCCGCAAACACAGAGATGAAATCCTGTGTCTCCGAACCGGACCCCCCTCCGACCCTGGGCTGCGCCTAGATATTCTGTCCATAAATTAGTAGTTGAACAAACCGTGACAAAGGGCAGCCCTGTCGAGGCCAACATTCACCGGGAACAGGTCTGACTTACTGCCCAATGCGAACCAGCTCTGGGCCTCCGGTCATACAGGACGATGCCCTCACAGAGACCGTCCCGACCCCGGTACTCCCGGAGAACGCCCCCAAAGGACACCCGGGGAACACAGTCAACGCCTTCTCCAAAACCACAAAGCACATGTGGACAGGTTGGGCGAACTCCCTTGAACCGCTCGAGTATCCATGAGAGTAATAGAGCTGGTCCAGTGTTTCCGCGACGGAAACTTGGTGACCTCAGCCAGGAGATGGATGTATCCGCCCCAAACATCCTCAGCCTCTGCCTCTGTAACAGAGGACGTGACGGGGTGGATTGAGGAGAACCTCAAAGTATTCCTTCCACCGCCCGACAATTATCCCCAGTCGAGGTCAGCAGTCTCTCCACTCCCGTCACCGTACATGGTGTTGGCAAAGAACTGCTTCCACCTCAGAGGCGCCGATGGTTTGCCCAGAATGATCTTTCGAGCGCGACCGTATAGTCATGCTCCATGGAGCTCCGAACTCCTCCCTGTCCCGGGTTTTGCCTCTGCAACAGCCCGGCCGCGAGCACGCTTGGCCTGCCGGTACTGGACAGCTGCCTCAGGAGTCCCCCGAACCAACAGGGCTCGATAGGACGCCTTCTTCAGCCTGACAGCATCCCTTACTGCCGGTGTCCACCACCGGTATCGGGGGTTGCCGCCGGGAACCACACCAGAGGACCTTCAACCACAGCTACGAGCCGCCGCATCGGCGATTGAGGCGAACATGGTCCACTCGGACTCCATGTCCCCCTCCTCCCGCCGGGACCTGGGGGGGAAAACTCTCCCGAGGTGTGAGTGGAAAGTCCGTCCTTGACAGGGGGCTCAGTCGAGACGTTCCCAGCAACCCCTCACTATACGCTTGGTCTGCCTGGTCTGACCGGCTACTTCCCCTGCCAGCGGATCCAACACACGACCCAGGGTGATATCCGGTTGAACAGCTCCGCCCCTCTCTTTACCCGAGTGTCCGAGACACGCGGTCGAAGGTCAGATGATACGACAACAAATCGCTCATCGCCTCGGGCCTAGGGTGGTCCCTGTGCCAGTGCACTGTGGACACCCTTGTGCTCGAACATGGTGTTCGTGATGGACAAACGTGACCTGGCTACAGAAGTCCAACAACGAACACCTCTTCTGGTTTTCCTCTGGCATATTTATTGGTTCTGCCTGTGGCATCTTAACTGTTATATGTTTTGTGACACTGGTCACTGCTGTCTAGTCCTGAATAAGCCAACACTGCAATGAATGGAAGAGGGACACATGAAATTAATCATGTGAGATTTACCTGTGTTCAATAGTGAACACGTTAAACCCGCCTCCCTGTTACGTGGTGAAAGGAGGAGGTATGACCCAAAATTCAATACTGCCAAAAACATAATTGAAAACCAAAATCCAAAAATCCAAACTGGGTAAAAATAAACACAGGAACTGAAGACGAACCAAAACAAACAATGGACTGACAACAAGAGTGAAAGAGCACAGGATTTTAACTGAGAGGACACAGGTGAAACAATCAGGGCGGGCAAGGCAATCTAAAGAACAGAATAAAACTCTAAAAAGACACAGGGAACAGAATTAAAAAATAAAACATGAACCCAAAAGTGACAACCAGTGACACCTCCTCCTCCACTCTGCCTCTCCACTGTCTGAAACTCCTCACTGGTCAAAAAGGAACAAGACAGAAACATGAATTATCAGCGCTATCATCACATTCATCTAAAACAAAGCAGTCTGGTAAAGTAATTGATAACAACCAGACTTAAACGAACTCACATAGTTAGTCCTTGTTCCTCTTTAAGGGCATCTCAAAAGAGAAAACCTGGAATGAAGAAACGTGTGAAATCAAAGTTGAATACCACATTCAGGCCCTACAGTATTATATATTATATAAGAAACTTGGACACGCTGGGATACCGGAAATGACAGGCTCTTTTTGTGAGCATCGGCCGCTGCGAGAGCTACAGCTCTTCCTGTGGCACCGTTGCAACAACTGGAAGATTTTGTGGCATCTGCTTTTGATAGTAAATTACACTGACATGAATCTGCGCTGACACTGCTGTGTCCTGACATAATAATGCATAAGTATGCACCTTCAAGGGACAAACAGAATTTCACACTATGATTTACCTGTTTTTTGATCTGAACAACATGGATGTAACCCCTCCCCTCCCACTCCGTCTCTCCACTGTCTGATCACATCCTGTTTTCCCTACTCTTGTCATGAAAACAAACACTTTAATTAACCTGTGCTTCCCACATGTGCAGACATAACTCACTTCTGTACCTGCACAGGATCTTTTCCTGATTGGCCATTTTCAAGGTTTTACTTCTCAGTTTGCACTAAACAGAGAAGTCTCATAAAGTAATGTGACAGAAACTTGAGGGATTTAACCTTCTTATACTTACTTTTTCATCTCGTACAGAGTAACCTGTGAAACAAAGCTACTAGTAATAGATTGATAGACCACATCCATACATACAGATTCAATGTCAGTTTATTTGCCATTGCAGGAAAAACACAGCATTGGAATACAATTTAGCAAAAGGCACCCTTGTGCACAGACAAATACAGACATCCAAACAACTTAAAAGACAAAAATAAAACAAATAAAACAGTAAACAAATGTCACTGTGAAATCGATCGACTAAAACATTTCAAAACAAGTGCAAATTCATTAAATGCTCTGTACACATTGGCTGAAAACAGCTTGTGATAAAACTGTAGCGTAACGAGATGTCCTGCATCTCAAGAGCGATATCTTCGCCAGAGGGAAGAAGCGGAACATGGCTTTCCCGGGTGGCCAGAAGAGTCATTAACACTCCGAAGAGCTTTGTTTAAAAAAGTCTGGATGTATAAAGATCCGCCAGAAACAAAGCTCCACAGCCCACGGTCCTCTTTGCAGAGCGGAGCACCTGGATTAAAGCTCTTCTTTTCTTTATCTGTATGTTTCCAACCCACACAGACACAAACCAACCAATAAACTCTCAATGTGCAGCGATAAAAGTTAGCACAATCTGTGGAGAGTTATGTTAAAATTCTCTAAGTTACGCAGAAAGTAAGACGCTGACGAGCTTTCTTAACGACTCGGTCAGTGTTTTAAACCCCTTTCAGGTTCGACAGAGTTAACCCAGAGAGAAAACTTGCCTCCACTACGATCTGCACCAGGGAGTTGTCGATACGCAGGCAAATGAGAACGTGCGAACTGAAAGTCGTAGACCAGTTCACATGTTTGTGATGCGCCTCAACTGGAGGTTGTTAGTTGACTCCACTGAACCACATTTTGTATCTCAGCCTATAAAGGATTCATCATTGTCACAGATGAGACCGATGATGGTGGTGTCAACACATATTTGATGATCAATTTGAGTCAAGGAGGACACACCACTCGTGATGTACAAAGTAAAAAGCAAAGAACTCAAAAATACATCCCGAGGAGAACCAGTGCTCACAGACACAACAACAGAAAACATCCGTTGATTTTCTCACTCTCTGAGATCTGTCCAGTTAAAAAGGTAAAAATCCATTTACACATGGCCACTTAAACCCGAGAGACACTGAGATTTCAATCAGTTTACCTGGACAAGCAGTTTAAAAGCAGATCTATACTCGATGAAAAGCATTCTTGCAACAGATTTACTAGTTCCAATGGTGACTGTAGACAGAGTTCAGAGCAAAGGAAATGCATCCTCGACACTCCTTTCTGTCTGTCGCAAACTGGAGCGGTCAGCACACTCACAGGGATCTGGCTCTTAAAGTCCTATAGTCACGCTTTTTTCTCTTCATGTTTCACACACAGTCCTCTGCACATGTGTGATATTAATGGTGTATGAATACACCACCCAACAATCACAGCTTGTGAGATTAGAGCCTTCTCTAGAGGGGACGTCACCTCGACTCAATCGAGCTGATCCAGAGTAAGAAGTCCTGCTCCTCTGTCCTCCCCCGCCGCACGTGACGTAGCTCACGCTTTTGTCGTGTAGCACCTGTACTTATAATTTCATTCATAAGAATTAAGAACATAAGAACTATTTCCAACAATGGAAACAATCCGTCACATCGAGCCTATGTCCTCGATGCACAATCAGACCCTAGTTTTGATTTAGTTTACAGAAGTAGCAACAGGCGAGTTAGCGTCACTACTTACCGATCGAGGGGGTTCCGATTACGTCTTTTACCTGGGAATTAACGTGTTTCCATAAGTCCCGTACCATTGTCCCTGTAGTTCTGGAACATCTCAGTAAGTGTCGCTATGAACCGGTTTTCTAATAGATCCATGAGAGGAACAGATGAAAAAAGTCGAGCCCGCTTTCTTCCGCTTAGGGCCAAATAGTGCGTCACATATCTACACCCATAACCCACTTCATTCAAGTTGACGTGATCCTAAAACCACGTTTAGTTGCTGACAAAAGCATAAAAAACAGCAGCTCTATGTGGTGTCCGCGAGACCAGACCACAGACGCTGGACTCGGAGCCGAGCTGTCGCTCTGATTCGCTGATTTGATCCGTCAATCACCTCCCCCGCTTTTAATTTATTTTTTAATTTTTAGAGTTTTGACAAAAAACAGCATACTGATTGTGTATTGGTTTACCCGTTTTAACAAAAGTATTTAACAACTATTGTTAAATACAAAGCAAACGGGGTCATGCGACAGTGTTAGCCAACTTAGGCGACTTTGTCCGCTAAGATTTAGCGACTATTCAGACCCCTAATAGCGACTTTTTTCAAAAAAGCGACTAGCGACAAATCTAGCGACTTTTTCTGGTGAGTATTGGCGGACTTATCTGGTGTTTTGGCGGACTTATCTGTGTTTTGGGAACCGTGAAGTCACGTATTGTTTTCTGCTGTCCTCAACGGGAAGCCCCTCCCCCGTCCCAAAGCACTTACAGGCTCCAGGCTCACAGTAGCCCCTTGCGCCAGCAGTCCGCAGCTACCAGTCCTATGGGCGGAGCAGAGTGAGAAGAGGAGACTCAAAAAGCACAAGAAGGTTGCAGGCCTGCTGCAGACTGAACTCAGCTCCACCACCACCACCCATTCCAAAGCTCCCCGGCCACTCCACCACCGCCACCGCCCCACTACCACCCCACCCCCCACTCCATCTGCGGCAGCTCTGTCCCGTACTCTGTTTTTCTCTCAGTAGTGGGTCACATTAAAGCATTGTTATGCCAAAACGATGAAAAAAAAAAAAACTTACAAAATACAACCAAAGTAACTCTGGCCAGAGTGTGTCTTTTGGGTCACTTTGCCGGCCCAAGCCCGGATTAAAGGTAGGAGCGGTTGGTTGTAGAGCTAGCAATTTCAACCCTACATAACAATCTTTTGAGTACATTTGCTGTTATAACATTAACAAATACAGGACAAAACTGATGTGTGTAATGTGTGATCTAGAAACAAGCATTAAAAATCATTAAATGTTGTTAAGTTAATATTTTTGTACATTTGTAGTCTAAACATATTTAGGTGTTTTACTCACGTTTTGTCTCTCCCACGACCTTATTCCTCTCTCCTACAGCGTCCGTTACAGTATTTGCAAATGGCAAATTATGCAAATTAGGCGATGAACGTCCTTATCGACTTCCTAGCGACGTTTGGGACAGCCATAGCTAACTTCCTTCTGAGAGTTGGCAACACTGGTCATGCGCGTCATCAGTGTGGTTTTCGTCACTGAAGTGGACCCGAGCGTTTCTGTGCTCACGCTGGGGAAGGTGCCCGATATTGACACTGAGTGCCACAGGACGCTATCATTCAGGCATGTTCACAGAGTTTTCTTATGGAACCTGGAATGATGGTCGACTCTTTAAAGCAGTTCGGCACAGTA